ACACATGTTCCTGTAACCATTCATCTCCTAACTCCGGGGTGGCAAACCCATGGCACATGTGCTGCAGTGGGTTATTTGTTATCACTGAAAGTTCTAAAAGGTTTGCCATCATTGCCTTAACTTGAATCAAAAGTATACACCCCACAAACAACCATAAAAAAATAGCTGTTCTTTATAATACAAAAGTGCTGTGACTAGCCAGCAGAAGAGATGCTTGCTATTGAAGTTCTGGAGCTATCTACTGAACATTCTGAAAGAATTTCCATGGTATACAGGGATTTCTAGAGAAAGTTATGTGGATTCTTTTTGAGATGTGGGAAGATTTCTTAAGAGAAACTGTTTATCAAGATACGATGATAGGTTTATGGTGGTTCTCCTGCTGATACATAAATCGTGACTGGGTTAGAAAAATGCATGCTCTTGGCTCATAAGCTTATCAATTTGATAACAAGGTCAGCAAGACTATTAACATACACAGAAGCCCAAGGAAAGAAAGCATATCTTTATCTCTAACACCAGATACTTGTATTTAAAAATAATATTTGGAACAGGATATTGGGGTAGGGGATAATGGAGACACGGAAGGAACAGTATGGAAAAGTAAGAGCATATAAATGTTTCTTTCCTAACTATGGGCCCAGGGTCATTCAGCTCCTCTTGTTCCCCGCCCCCATGCATGACCTCACGTCCCTCTATCTCTAAAATTCTGTGACTGCAGTGACTTTGTTAATGTCTATTTTTCAGGTTTGACTCAAATGATCCATCAGAATGCTAGACTAGAACCACCTAGGACATTTGATTTCCATGGTTTAGAATAACACCTGCTTTGTCAGGTGAACTTAAATCTTTTTGGAGCAAAGAAAGACATATAAATAAGGTAAACAGGCATTCTCAGGCATGCTAGAAACCATAATTGCATTTTAAATAGGCCACAACAAAGAATTGTTTCCAATTGCAAAAGGTCAATATATTTTATCCTGTTACGCTCTGGAAAAAAAATTAGGTAGTTTAGTTATCCTTTCAATTCATACTAAAAAGAACGCCGAACTATTCACCCATCATGATCTAAAAAAGAGAAATTACACTGCATGGCTTACATAAAATAATAAATCACCATAATGATGTATATTACAACTGCTACCAGGGGAAACCAAGTTTGGCATTAAGTTTTCAGCATAAATTCTTCTGACCCATCACACAATTCTTGGGGAACATAAGGTGAAGTAACTGCTCAGCAGAAATGCAGTTGTTTGTGGCTGTAAGAAGCAAAATTGCTCCTCAGGGTTCTACATGAAGCATTGTGCTGACAGGATTCTCAGTAACTTTCTTTGGACAGACACAGAGGTGTAATGGTTTGTATCTAGATTTCCTCCAAGCCTCATGTGATCATACGGGGGTGGGGGTGGTGGAAAGTGGTTGGAATTTGGGAGCTTATAGCTGACTTCCTGTTAGGAGGTAGGGCCTGGTGGGAAGAGGGTATGGCCAACAGATTAGATCTCCCTTTTAGGTTCCTCCCTTGACTCTCCTTTTCCTGGATGCCATAAAATGTGCAGCTTTTCTGTATCCGGGCCCTTCCACTATGCCATTTGGCCTTGGAGCAGGCTATGGACTGAACCTTCTACAAACTATAAGCCAAAATGCACCTCTCCTCCTTTAACTCAAGAGTATGGGGTATTTTGTCCCAACAAAGAGGAAAGAAACTTGACTAAGAAAAGTGGTTAGGTCCACAGGCTAGGAGAGTTTTCGCTTCCAGAAGATGACATCACAGCTAAGCAAGGATCACAGCATGAAGGTCCCACACAACCTGAGTCCAAATCCCAGCCCTGCCACTTAACTACTTTGGGACCTTGGCTATTCCTGGAATCTGTCTCTGGCCCCTTGGTTTCCCTAAGGATAGTAGCAGCACTTGTGACGAACACCAGTTAGTAAGCCCTGTATAGTAGGTGTATAGTGTTATCACTTGATGAAGGGTGCAGTAGAAGTAACTGGGTGGGCACTGCTGTAAGGCAGTCCCAGGGTCTATTTCTACAGCGATCTGACATGAGCCCAGGGGCGATATTAGAAAAGTGTGACCCCAAAGAACCTTCTGCAAAATACGGAAGCGTTCTTTATCTGTGCCACTGGTGGCTGCTGATCACTGAAGTGTGGCTGGTGTGCATATAAAATTCAATTTTCAATTTAATTTAAATCAGTGGCTACTGCACTGGACAGTAGATACAGGAGTTCCACCGCTATAGTTTGGTGGGTCAGTGCTCATCTAAAACGTCTCCTAAGCAGCATCTCTAAATAGTTGTTAGTGAAGTTTGGGATGAATATTAGGTGGCAAAGAACTTCATACCATGGTCCTTGATATCTAACTTCGTTGTGGCTCAATCTCTGTCCCCGGGTGAACGCTGGCTCCTCCGCCTTGGGCTGGGGACAGTTGGCTGTGATGAAAAACAAGATGACAGGATAACTGACTGAGGAGCATACAGGCTGGGGCTTTCAGGACAGCCAAGGGGTGTCCAAGGCAAAGCCTAGAGCCTACAGCCCTCCCAGAAAGTGGTCCTGAATCCACATGGGAGCACATAGGGGTGGGCTTTGGTCTGAACAATCTTAAAGGTGGTTTCATCAGTTGCTAACCTCATCCCCCTCCCTCTAATCCCCTGTTGTATTATCTCTGGGGAAAGCCATTTTCTGGTGCATCTGCCAAGGTAGACTATCTGGGAAAGGTACCAAGATAACTAAGATAAGCTGTAGCATTGGTCCCAAATAAAAGGAAGTGACTATTAAGGTCAATAAAATGATTTCAAATAAATCATGTAATATAAAAGATAAAGGGAAAATAATTTATAGTACAACATGTATGTATAATATGTACTTAAAGCAAACTGTATCGGAAGGAACAATGTTATTGACACCTGTAACAGAATTATGGTGATGACATCATAACACTGTCAACAACTTTTAAAATACCTGTAATTCTTGGACTTTTTTTTTAAATACAGGGTCTTGCAATGTTGTCCAGCCTAGCCTCAAACTTGCAATCCTACTGCCTCAGCCCTCTTAAGCAGCTCAGATTATAGGCATGCAGCACCACAGCTCGCTTGGCCAAGTGTTGAATAAAACAAAGTGGAATCTTAACTTAGTATCGGGTGGCTTTATTTTTGGAAAATTCATGGTATGTTCAAACTATTCCAAAAGACATTTTGTTTTAAAATGCAAAATGGAGTTACTTTCAGATAACTATAATGGGTTTTGTTTTCTTAACATATGAATATCTAGCAGAATATTCAAGAATCATGTAGGATATAGAACAATCCTTTGGTGTATTAAACTGCCCTGTCTGCTACTGGACACAAAACATTGATGACTTCCATCCATTAACTCTCAATAGTGGCCGTAAGCACTTCTGAAATCCTTGGTTTAAGCCAGGCATATGAATTCTACCAACCCCACCCCACCTGTCATCAGTCTAGGCTTAAGTCAACAGGTGCATGGCTCTGGCTGGGTTGAGAACAGGGCACAAGATGTGACGTCAGCCAAGGAAGCACCGGAAGTTTGCCAGGGGTTTCCAAGCATTCTCCTAGGAAAAGGTCACAGGAATGAAGGTTTCTTCTTCTACATGGTTACCAATGGATGTGACGCCTGGAAATTCTGTATTCATCTCACAACTAGCTGGAGGACGCCGCCAACAGGAGGGCACAGCCCACAGCACAGGGGACCAAGCTGAAGACTTCAGGTTATGTCACCTTTGGGTTCTTTCACCGGAGCCAATGGTCTCGACTGCTTTCAATTTGGACTTTGGTTCTTGCAAATGAAAGCACCTTGATACATACATAAGTAAGCCAAAGATAAAATAGAGTTAAAATTTAAAATAGTAAAAAAACAAAAGACCCAAACAACAACGAAGGTGAATGTTGCTTCTGGACATCTATACCAAGTGCAACCACCACGGGTGATGCAGCGCAAAGCCCTGTGCTCCTCAGGGAAGGGGCTCCAGAGCACCACCCCGAAGAGCTCAGGCACCCCGTGACAGCCACACAAAGACCAGCAGCACAGTTCATACACGCAACTTGTTAGGGGAACACATGGAAGCAAAAAGCTATTTCATTTGAAAATCAAAAATACAGTGATAGGTAAAAATAAAATGTAATTCTCCCTTTGTGTTAAAGAGCTCTATAGGATGCACTGTGGACAGACAATGAAAGCTCTGTTTTTGTGACGTTTCTAATCACAGAGACAAATAAAAATACATGTTGAAGGGGTGCAGACCAAGAAATAAAAAAGAAATGCAATCACCCTGAGTTCACCAGGTGGTGGGGACAGGTGGGTTGAAAAGTGGGAGAACCATGGTGAACCATGAAAGGTTTTCTAACATGCCAGGGTTTGAACTTCAATATTAAGTTATCACACTGGCAGTGTGCTTTAAAAGGAGCATTATACTCTCAGGAGCTATTCCTATTCCCCATGCCTTTTCTCCAATAAATTTTCCTACTGTTAAAAAAAAAAAAAGGAGCATTATAGGAGTAGCACCAGGAATGGAAAATTTAGTAGTGCCCTGCTGAGATGGCAGCAGGCAAGGCTCTAGATGAACACGGCATGGTTGCCAGTTTCGTGACAGACAGCAGCGCATCAGCAGAGCCAGCTGCCAACTGGAACACTGCCCCCATCCGGAACCCCTGCTCCATCACAGCCTCGCTGTGTGACCTTAGGCCTGACGTGATACTTAGCCTTCCCCAGCCAGTTTCTCATCTTATGCAGCGAGGACATGCCCTGCCCCAGGGATGTGAGGGTGAAAGGAGATGAGGCACTCTAAGCACCTTGCCTAATCAGGAGGTGCTCAGCGTTCAGCTCATGAGCCACTCCGAACTACTTTCAGAGGGTGGACAAGCCACCACATGACAGTCTCTCCATACATTACATCAGGTTGGAAAACAAGCCTTGTTTTTTCTAACAGCCAGTTGCAATCTGTTATAAAATCCTGACATTAAAAGAAAAGCCATGATACACCAAGAAAATAGATTGTGGTTAAGGATTTATAAATACATTTATTGGTGGTATTACAGAATGATAAATGCAGAAAACAGAATACAAAGAAATCCGCACTTAAAAGGGAATATTAATCTTAAAAACACAACATATGTAATATATTAATCAATTTGCACGCTTGTTTAGACTTACAATGTAAAGCTAAATCCAAAGCTTTCATTCTGACTTTTTCCCTTTGCTGTAGTTACATGGAGTATGATTACGTTTGTTTGCACCTAACCTAAAAGCAAGACTCTGCAAGCTGACACTGAAGCAGCCAGTTAATCAGGAATTTTAAAGAAGCTCTGTAAGAGGATAAAGCCACATGAAAGAAAAAAGCCTCGCAACCACATATATAAATACAAAGAAAATATCAAGAAGCAAAAGGACCATAGATATATCAGGTCTAGTCTAACTGCAATTTCTAAGTCTAGCAATAATTCAGCGAGCATTCATTTACATGCCTATGTTTCAGAGCATAAAACCATCAGTTTTCACTACAATTTTCTGACTTTACTCAATGGACAATTATTAAGCCTTAATATTCTTTAATAATAACCTAAGAATATGATTTATACATTACAGAATCATTAACAAAGAGGCCTTCAAAGGCTTCTAAAAGCTGCAGTATAGTTCAGAGGCCAGATTTCAATTTACGTAATGTTACCTTCCATAAAAGGTTTACTACACCAAGGACAATACCGTTCAGGGCCATTAATGCGGAAATACTCCAGCCTTTCCAGCTGTCAGAGAATTACTGAGCCGGTAAGATTGTTACGCAAAGTGTAACAGCCCTCTAAATAGACTATGCGTTAAACAGTTATGATACAACTGTGGCCACACAGCTAGCTTATGGAACCGGTAATAAATAGCACTACAGAATTGTGGTGACGCTTTAGTGTGAGAATTACTTTTCCCTGCCAACTATTCAGTAGAAAAAGGGTTTTCCGGTGAGCAAGGAACCTCTGAAATAAACACACGGGGCAAATGAAAGTGAATGAAGTGAACTTCTCAATCTTACTTTTCAGATAACTTTGTTAGCATTTACAATAATCAAAATGACCCTAAGACAATTAAACGTAAGATCAAATCAATCAGCTCTGCAGAAAGCACATTTTAGAAGTTTTGTCTGATTTATAACTAGACTTGAACATGTTGCAATTAAGTCAGATTCTAACTACTAATTTGGAATAGAGGGTTTGAAGAAAGTACTTCAAGTTTTAAGCCAGATGGTTTTGTTCTCCTCTCCCTAGAGAACATAATAGAGAAAAGGGGCTGTTACAAAACTAAACAAAAACAAAACTACTAACAAAAATCATACAAGAAACCCTTTTTCTTCAGTCAATTCCATGTTTTTATCAAGGAGGCCATGAACCGGTTTCCGGAGGAAGTCAGGCTGAGTGAGATGTAGCACACAGTGTCCTCGACTACAGCATGAAGTTCAGGCATACTGTTTTACACGGGTTACGATCGAAAAGATAAAAATGTACAGCCCTCGCCGCCTTGCACTGAGAAAAGTGTTGAGAAATGCAGAATCAATCCTGGTGCCGGGAGATAGTTTCCATCCACCGCCTGCGAGCCCCTCTAATGCACCAGTTCCGGCTGGTTTTCCACGAAGGGCAGCACCCCGCTCACATAGTAGGCGATGCCGAGAGACAGCAGAGCAATGACGAAGATCAAGAGCAAGACCCTCCAGAAGCCCAGATCCTCTACGAACTCCTGCCAGGTAGTTCGAAAGCTGGAGAGGACTCCCTCACCCTGCTGGAGGTTGGGATTGAGGAGAGAATGGCTTTCCATGGCACTGTGGATGAAGGGAAGAGAAAAGACGCGGCATGAAATGACACACTTCGTCCGCTGCAGACATTACTTAGAAAAGGCCAACCTTGTAACGTGTACTTACAACAAATGGGCTAACACGGCCACTCCCACCCACCTATGCGCTGACTTGTACATCCACAGGTATCCGATCTACTTTACACACCGAGAAACTGCCATGTTTGTTTCTTGTGTTAGAATCTAGCGAATTAAAAATCCTAGTCTTGAAATAGCTCAAATGAGTTGTTTCCATCAAGATACTAAATGAAAGCACTTTAAATTTTAAAGACTCAAAAATAAAAGTTCCTAACCTGAGAATTCATGGTAATGAAAATAAGCAAAATGAGTAACTTTTAAAAATCATTTATATAATATAAAAGTTAAACTAAAATTTTTATTAATTACTTTAACCATCTGACAACTGGAGGCCTTCCTCCTGTCAGTGTCATCTTCTCGTCTCAGTGTGCTGCAGGGGTGGACTGGGAATCCACCGGGAGTTCTTCACAGTTTCCTCTTGCTAGTTTTGGTTCTATCTTGTGCAGTAATACAGAACGAGTGTGTTTCTCTTCTGCACAAAGACCGAGTCTAGTTGAAAGTAAGGTAGCAAGAGCACTACAGAAACACTGACTGCAGCACTTGGAACACTCCCCACGGGCACCGTGCGCACCAGAGAGCGAGCGGCACCTCGGCCTGCGGTACCCGGCACGATGCTCTGCGGCAAACTTTCAGCTTGAAGGGATTAGCACTCGCTGCCGTGTCACAACAGGTAGGCCCAGGCACCAGGTATCGTTTAGATTAAAGCCGCAGAGACCATAATCATAGGTATCATCTATCTGTTGGTTGCAAAAACTCACTACTACCCTCAGAAACCCCTCTCTCCACGGTCTTCAGTGAGACAGCATGAAATGTCTTGGTGTCTCATTTACTCTGAACTATGCGCGCGCACACACAAACCTGGCAGCTATTTTACTTCTTTCTTTCCCTTGAGACATCTTCTTGCTACACTGTCCAGGCCAGTCTTAAACTCCTGAGCTCAGGCGCTGCCCCCGCCTCAGCCTCCTGAGTGCTGGGGCACAGGTGTGGCCTCTACGCCCGGCCCCCTGGGATCTCAACACTGTTAAGCAAAGGCCTTCAGCCTCTAGTGTAAAAGATGTCTCCTTCAGTCATGGGCAGCTGATTTCCTAGTGCGCCAGAGTGTTCAATATCCAAACTCTTTTCATGTTAGAAAATGCTTACCTGAATAAAAGATGTTTTCAGAGGGTATCTATAATAACACAGAGATTTAAGAAAACTTGAGCAAATTCTAAAATACCATCAAAACTTTGAGGAGGCCTAAACAAACAAAACCATACACAGATAAAGAAATTCAAATAGCCTGGCATGGCAGCTCATGTCTGTAATCCTAAGCACTCAGGAGGCTGAGGCAGGAGGATTGCCAAAAGTTCAAGGCCAGCCTGGACTACACAGAGAGACGCTGTCTCAAAAAAGAAATTCAAAACACGCTTGGTTTGAGCTCTTTGAAATTTACTGACTATGTCTGAGCTGAGATACTCTCATACTCACAGATGTTAGGGTCTAACATGAGAAGAATTCAGTGATCATTCTCTAGGAAGTCACAAAGCTCTGCCAGGTAGAATGTTTTTTTTATTTTAAAGAGAATTAAAAAAAAAAAGAATAGCAAAATGCCAACAACATAGATGAAAATAAAACAAAGCAAAATTTTTGATAGACGTTTATTTAGTGAAATGCTTTCTACTGTCCAGGGAATGCCAGACTCCAGGACAATGCAGGGTGTATGTGTGTGTGTGTGTGTGTGTGTGCTTGTGTGTGTGCGTGTGTGTGCAAGCCCGCATGCACATGAACACACATTTTCTTTTCAGACACGTCATTTATACTGTTCTGTCATCCTATACCTACACAATAAAAATGTAATAAAAAGGAACTAAATTAAACAGCATAAGAAGGAGTAGGGAAATATTTTCATCAACTTAATTTATAAGCCTTGCACAGAAGTTAGGTTATCTTGGGAAATCGTAAGGAAGACAGGGTAAGTAGTAAACTTAATACCTTGTGTGATCTTCTCGCCTTGAATAGGTTGTCTCTCAGCTAAACTCAACACCATGTGCTGGCCAATCCTTTAATTCCTCCCACTTTTTAAATTGGGATATGTTTTATATGCCATAAAATTCATCTTTTCAAATTGTACAATCCAGTGACTTTCAGTTTATTTATAAAGTCATAAACCTCTTCCATGATCTAGTCCAATACCCTTTCACCTCTAAGAAACCCTGTCCCCATCAGTTACTTCTACTGCCCCCGCTCCAACTCCGGGTAATCACTAACCTACTTTCTGTCTCTGTGGATTTGCTACCCTCGCCGTTTCCTATAAGCAGCGTTGTGTAACATGTGGCCTGACATGGCCTGTGTTCTGCATTTATCCACGTTGCAGCATGTATCGGTATTCATTCCTTTTTGTGGGAGAATATTACTCCATTGGATGAAAAATAACATTTGTTTATTCTTTCATTAGTAGATGGACGTCTGGTTTAGTTTCTAGGTTTTGGCAATTATGAAAATGCTGCTATGAACACATGTTGCACTGGGTCAGATGCTAACTCTATGTGTAACTTTTGGGGGAACTGCCAGACTGTTTTCCAACATGGCTGTACTACTGCACACTCCCTCCAGCAAGACATGCTTCTCATTTCTCCACTTCTCCTCTGACACCACGGCTGTCTGTCTTTTTGCTTACAGCATCCTACTGCTGTGAGGTCTGCCCTGCCGCGGTCTCCTAGCGATGTCGCCTTGAGACCTAAGCTTAGCTACTGTACGTCTACCCAGGAATAGGAGAGGAAAAATGATATGATATTTGAAATAATGCTTCTTAAATAACTCACTATTTAATATTATAATATATATAATATCAAATATTAAATATTTAAAAATAAATGTGTTGTGAACAGAACCAACTCTCCACAGTAAAGGTAATCATTATGTACCACAAACACGTACTAATAAAAAATTTTTAAAATTTAAACATAAAAATATAAAAGCATTAATAATTTAACTTTAGAGAACAAGCTTTATATAAAATGTAAATAATCCAAATTCTTATGCTGAAGCAGAATGACATATACGCAAAAAGGCCAGAGTTAAGTGTGTGACACTGAGCTGCTCAAAGAACTAAGCACTTCGTAGTTAATGAGTAATCACAACTGAGGTAAAATAAAGCTAGAAGTATGTTTCTAATAAAGAGGGACCTAGGAATTGGCTATGATCAATATTAAATCCTCAAAACATACCAAGCAAAAGCACATTCTTGGACATTTTTCAGAGTAAAGAAGTTTAAAGTAATTTAATGGCATTTTATAGAAAGATGAAAACACATTTCAAGTGATTCAGGAGGAACATGGTCGGTAACAAGTGCTCGTTACTTGTTAGGAAGCTTTCACTGTGAGCACTTTTACTGCGAGCGCTCACGCCCCGACTGCCGGTGCCAAGGACGCAGCTGAGAAAGGCTTGCATCTGTGACTTCCTTCTTGCCTTACCCATTGGTCGGCTTTCGGGGTAACTCTTTGAGGTGTGTGAACCATTTTAGAAATAAGACTTCTAAATTTCTGTAGGACAATGGTAAGCACTGAAAAGTATTAATACAAAGTGTTAATTAATACAAAGTATTAATACAGTGGAATTAATGGTCCTCAAGAGCGCACCGGAGCACGCGGAGGAGAGGAATCAGAGGAGGATGAACCATGAAAGACACTGCAAGGAGAACTCACAGCAACTACGATCCCAGAGGTCTAGGGGCTGGTGTGGCCCTCAAGTCAGGTCCTGCTCAGTCAGGTATTAGGTCAACAGCTGATGTGGGCTCCTCTCGCTCCATCTCTGTCTACTGAAAACTCTGGGAGGAGACTACAGTGAGGTCACCGTCCTTCTCTGCGTTACCTGGAGGCTGAAACTCCACGGTGGTCACCAAACTCCACGCCACTAACAACTAGGCTGACCTACAGGCTCTACTGCGGAGCTCCGCAGTCAGCCCGGGAGACGGCCCGCCTCCTTCCCAGAGCTCCGTGAGCTGAGCTCCCCGCTGCGTCTAGATGAAAAGCAGGGGAATCTGGAGGACCTTGTCACTCACCATGGCTTAGCTTCAGGTACTAAGAGGACCCCAGAGTTTGTTTGCTCCAACTTATGTGAAAGTCACTTGCCATGACTAAATTGTGTGTGCTAAATGCTGTCGTTTCCCTCTCCTGTTTATTTCACAGCATCCTACTTCCCTACCCTTGAAGTGACCTTTGTAATCGTCCCAGTCCTGTCTAACTTCTCAGTCTTTCTCTTCTCCTTTTATGAAACTCCATTCTTTTTTCTGATCTGTACTTAAAATTCTCAAGCTCATATGTATTTCCTTCCTTCAATTCAGCTCCTACCTACCTCTTCTCCCTTGTCCTGTCGACACAGCAGGCGGGTGAGTGCATAGTAGGCTATGTGGCATGTAGTACTTTCTGTGCAGAGCCTCTCAGTTCTAACCTGAAGCTACTAAGGACCTATGCAGAGTTCAAAGACAGAATCAACACCTTGCACTTGAGAGCAAGGAGCATAAAGTTTGCAAGGTACCACGAAAGATCCAGTACCCACCGGCACGCCGCTTAAACATCACATCTGAAGTACCTTTCACTCTCAGCCGTCTGCATGGTCTCCAGCTTTGAGTGGGTTCCTCTGTTAAATCCTTTCACCTCTTGTTCTTCCAAAGATTCCAGCAATCGGATGACATCTTTATTCACGCCCCTGCGCTTCGCCAGAACTAAAGGGGTAGCACCTTGATGATTGCTACAAAAAAAAAGTTCATGAAATGAAGACCATTACAACAGCTAAACTATATAGTGAGTGTCCATTTGTGTAGATCTCAGGGAAGAAAGGAGATCAACCGACTCACAATTGAGCTCCAGAGCAGAGAAAGTAGTTAAGCTAGAAGGTGATGTTTGAGTTATCCTATTGCCTTTTCCTTCTAGGGAAAAGGAAAAGGAATGCACAGGCAAAAAAGAGATGACACGAGAGTAAACAAAAGAGAGAACATCTTGGAGATTAAATGGGAGGTTCAGTTCTAGTCTCCCTCGTATTCAACATGCTTTATAGGTAGAATATGTATTTTTAAAAGTCTTAAGAATTTTAAAAAAAGCTGCCTTTGGTTCACCTATGCATTTAACACTAATAACAGGACACAACTCAAACTGCATTGAATGCTGCAGTCAGTTCCCACCACATCCTGCCCTGCTGTAACAGAAGCCTTTCCTGTCCTGTTCAGATCTAGGGGCATTACAGCAAGAATCCCGGGTAACAGGTAACTGTAATTTAACTCTCAAGCTCAGTTTTAAAGGTGGTCTGACATCTTTGCCACTCAAGGCCCGGGGATATAGCTCAGTGGCACAGTGCCTGCCTGGTAAGCGCAAGGTCCTGAGTTTGATTCCTGGTATCAAAAAAAAAAATCTCTGCTATCTTTGCCATTCAAGATATGGGGTAACACTAAATCAAATAAGAGACCTATGACTTCCTCAAACTTTTCAGTCTAAAACGGACTCTGGCCCCAGAGAGGCAATGAAGTTGGTACACCATGTGACAGAAGCCACATGAGCTGTCGAGTTGGTGGAACTAGGTCCAAATTCCCACTCTGTCTCTCTTATAAGCTATGTGACCTCTTATCTCAGACACCTCATGTGTAAAACGAAGGTAAGAGACTAACTCCGAGAGATATTCGTTCTGAGGATAAAACAGGCTAACTTAAGTAAACATGGTCCAACTCACAACAGATTTTCAACAAATACTAGTTCTCTCCTTCTTTTTCCCTTGTCTTACACTGCACAATTAATTAGCAGAAACTAGCCAGTTTTTCTCAGAAAAGAATTACAGAGTTCCAGCATAAATCTAGAAGTTAACTTCTCATTCCCTCACTTTATTGGTAAGATTTCACTGTCTCCAATACCTTTCTGAACTTGTCATTACAACCTGATCGAAGAAGAAAGAAAATCAAGACTCCCAGATTACAGCATTGGTTGAAAGACGAACAGAAAGAAATTATTAGACTTCAAAAACCACTAAGAACTTACCAAATATCAATTTTGAGCCCATTGGAAACTAAAAACTGGATGGTGTCCACGTGGCCGCAGAGGTGAAGAGCTGTGTTTCCCTGATAGTCCGTGGCCAGCAGGTCAGCACCAAACTTATGCAACAGCTGGCAGATGTCTACGTTCCCGCGGGCTGCCGCGAGGTGAAGGCCGGTCCTCCCTCTGCTGTCGCGGATATTTGGGTCAAAGCCACTTTCCAAAAGCCGCTTGGAATAGTTAAAGTCCCCATCAATACAGGCTTGCAGCAAGGGCACGTTAGTCTGAGAAGAATCGTTTACGAAAACGTAGGACATTTCTCTGATGGGGTTGGTAGAAGACACCTGTAATGCAATACGGGATGAGGGAGAGCTGATGAAGCCCAATTGAGCTCAGACAATGAGGTCAATCAGAAGAGCGTTATTTCTTATCCTTCTTTGTCTGCTGTCTGTAACACACTACCTTACCAAATGGAAACAATAAAGAAATTTATATCTTATATAATTATATAGAAATCATACCTTATATATCAATTATATCTTATTTCCATTGAAATACTTCATTGTCTTCACATCTGCTGGACTGAAATTACAACTAAATTACTATAAAGCTCTATTTGCTTTTCATCATGTAAAAAGATTACAAGATATTTTTAAAGGTAAGCGAGATATAACGGCTTAATGTCTACTACTGTCAGAAGATACAGATGAGCTTTAAACATTGAAGAAATATACATTTATACACGTATGTGGGGATGCTATCCTGGTACATGTTTTTATTTTCATACAAAGTAATTCTCTTCCGTGTATTTGCTTTCTGAGTTATTCTACATGGTAAATAAGCAAAGTTACCTGCAGGGACGAGATAAAAAGATAACTGACATTCAACAAAGACCTGCCGGAACGTCGTGTTTACAGCACAGGTTTCAAACTTTCATTAAAAAGGTTAAGGAAAGTAAAACACAACTTAAAAATCGGAACTACTGGGAGATCAATGCAGGTTACCCTTCCTTTCGTACACTAACCCTACTCTGTGTACCCTGCTGTCCCCCGACACGCGCTTTTGCTGAACTTGCACTGTCGGAAGAGAAGAGGAACCAGAGCCCGTCTGGCTGGGAAGAGAGCAGCCAGGCGGCTGAGTCTCGGGGTACTTCCCGGCTACTCCCGGCCCGGCTCGCGGCACTTCCCTCAGGACAGTCGGCCTTAGCAAACGCAGACAAGGTCTCCCTACCTCTCCCGTGGTTCATTTAAGACAAAGACTGTCTGAAGAAACTTTACTAGGCTATCTACAGAGAAAATAAAACAAGAACCGAGAAAGGCAGACAGTGCTGTGTTGACCGAGCTGGCTCTTACTGCAAGGTTACAGAAGCTGAGTCCCAGCCAGGCGCAGCTCACACCGCGTTTCAGGTGCCCTCCTTCCTTCTGGAACCCCAGCGGAAGCGGCCGGTAGGCCAGGGGACGCGGGAGAGCAGCACACAGGGCTGCCGAGCTGGGTGGGATGCGGGTCTCCCTCAGGGCCTTTCGCAGCCCTCCTCACTCTAGCCCTGGGCTGCAAATCAAGTGCCTCTTCGAGAAGTACTATGTTCCGGCTGAATCACACCAGGGCTCTGCTGCCACCCCGGGGTCTTGGGGGAAGGAAAGGCCTGAGCACGGACCAAGGGCCTGTTCAGGCTGGGCATTTGCTAGAGGGTTTTAATGAATTTTACCTGATCTTCCTAACAGCTCCACTGTAAGGTTTATTTTCTTTGAATTTCAGTGAGAGTCACTGTAGGATTTTAAGCCAAGTAAATGGCAGTCACACGAGGACGCGGCAGAGAGAGGCGACACCTGGACAGGGACACAAAACACGTAAAGACTCTGGATATAAAGGGGGAGCGGGAGCCAGTAAGGATGATTCCAAAACAGGGACAAATCTGCATATGATTAAGAGTTATAGAGGTCAAGATAAAAAAGAAAACAATCATTCAGATTATAATACTCATGATTTTTAAAAAAATTCATTCTATGAGAATTTTCTCACTAAGACAGTCAAGAACGCTTTTGAGGTTAATCTCCCCCTCCCCCTCTACAGTACTCACTGAATTGGATCATAAAAAAGATCCAAAGTTTATCACAACCCTTTTCGAAAATAAAATACCGCATATTGAGCGATTTTTCAAAAAGTATTATGTTTTGGCTAAATTCTGTAAGAATTCTGAGAAACAATCTCATTGGTGTTTTGATCCAAACACAGTAAGATTCTGGTTGGCAGACTGGGAGTTTTCTGAAAGTTGGCTCAGGGAAAATACAAGGCTTTGTTGTCTCCGCTGTAGGTGAGCGACAGGGCAGTGCATGTGTCCGTTTCCTTGTCCTGAAACTGCTCACCTCACCCCCTTGTTTAATAAGCCCAATGCCAGACAGCACAGTTCATCAGGATACAGAACCGAATCTGCATAAATGCAAGGCCGCAGGCCACTGAGGGTTTCATGTCCTGTGCCGTTGTCCACAGCAGAAAGTACTCACGGAGGCCTGAAGATCTGACCTCTCCTCCAGGGGTCACTCAGCACTCTCTCTGAATTCTTAAGCAGGTTCCACAAAAATATTCAGTAATGTGTCGGCAAGGGCCTACAATCAATAGAAAACTCAGTTACAATGAACGTGTGGCCGTGGAAAGGAACACACTGTTCTCTTACACACGGACAGGCCAGCAGCGCTTGGGGAAGTTCTCCAGAAAACCCGAGGCAGTGACAAGAGAGGCCAGGGAAGTAGCAAGGCCGTGCAGAGTGGGACTGGAAGGGCTCTAGGAGCTGCTCTGTGGCCCACGAACAAGCAAGCAGGGACAGAGAGAAGAGGAAGAGTCAAAGTCTGTGCCAGCAGTAAAAAGCAAACCAGGCTCTGAAAATTTACTCTCTGTCTTAGTCTGGAGTTCAGAATGCTTTATTTTCCGCATTATACACGGCAGCCAGACCCCAGATTAGTCCACAAAAGCGTCTGTATTTTATCTGTGGAGCTAGGCTGGAACCCAGGGCCTTACATGTCCTAGAGCCCCACCCCTGCTCCCATAAGAGTATTTCAGAAATAAAATCCTACTCCTAAAATGGAGGAAAAGCCATATTTAAACCATACAGGGGGGATTTAAGAAAAAATATTTCTAATCTTCCTCGAATGCTAATATTTAAATCCCTTCCTGAGATTACCCTTCATCTTCCTTTCAGTGTGGAAGGGGATCTGGCTCAAACCTAGCTGTAGTCTTTTTTCCACCCTTCCACCCCTCCCTTGTGAGCCAGAGTGCTGTCCCACCGCCCTCCTCCCAGCGGGCCCACTGGGTTGCTCCTCTCTGCCCTGAGGGAGACTAAGAGAGGGACCATGGAAGCAGGGTCAAGAGTAAGCAGCATCAACAATATTAAACAAACACTGACTAGGCCTGAAACGTGCCATGCCAAGAGGCAGAATATAAAGTCCAAATCCTAAATTCACGGTCAGGTCGAAACTCACGTTAACCTTTTCCTGGTCACTCATGGTCATTTCTACCACATTACCTTTAAATAAATTATGTAGAGAAATAACAGTATTTAGTGAAGATTCGTCCATAATATGTACGTCAGGTTGTGACATAAAGGCTATCAGCGATGGCAAACTGGACACGAGGACCATTCCCACAGCAATGTGGGTAAACACCACGAGGACAAGGCACCGCACAAATCAGCCACCCTCGCCCACCTCCTAGATATCTGTGACTACATAATACCAGTTCAACAAACTGTGTATCCCTGGGCCACTTAATCAGAATTTTTTGAACCAGTATCTGAATTCATTCAAAGTCTAGCACTTTCCCTGTCTCATTTTAACCAATGAAACGGAGTCTTCACAATTAATGCCTCTCTAGTCTAGGATTTTGCTTTCAGTGTTAAAATACTGCCAGGCATTTATTCTAAAGGTAACAGAGTCCATGTTACAAGTTTGCCTTCATTTGGAAGGGGAATGATAGACCACATAGTTATGCCCCCAAGTAATCTTAATGCTCCCTTAACCTGTAACAGAGGCAATTCTTCTACCATTTTCTTCTGATACGCCAAGACCGGAAAATGAAATACACTTGATCAAATTACATATTTATTGGCATGTGATTCTATTCCATTTATATAAATCCACTAGACTGAATTAACTAAAAATCATCCCAGAAAACTTCTGCAGCTTCACCTGAACCTTAAGCACTAGAAATCCCTAATGGCTTCCCCAGGAAGTCATAACTATTATTTAAGGGTAAAAAGGACTGAAGATTTTCTTAAACTTTTCATTTTGCCTTAACTGTAGAATCACGTGTAAGAAATAACACGGAGGTCCTGCTCATCCTTTCCCCAGTTTCTCCCGACAGTGACATCTTGCAAACAACTGCTACAACATTACAGCCAGGATACCGACACTGACAGAGGCAAGATGCACAATGTTCCCATCACCATAAGGAGCTCTTGCTTTGCTCTCCTACAGCTGTGCCTACCCTTCCTCTCAAGCCCCGGAAGCCACTACTTTGCTTTTCATTTCTAATTCTCTCGTTTCAAGAACATGGTATAATGGACTCATACGGTACGTGAAATCTTTTGGGACCGGCCTTGTTCACTCTGCATAATTCTCTGGAGATTCATGCAGATTGCTGTGTATATCAATAGTCTATCCTTTTTATCACTGAGTGTACTCTAGTGATAAAATGTACATACTACTGTTTAACAGTTCACCTACTGAAGGACATCTGATTTTCTCCAGTTTTCGGCTATTATGTTGAAAGTTTCTACAGACATTTGTGTATAGGTTTTTATGTGGCTCTAAGTCTTTATTTTTGTGGGATAAATGGTTAGGAGTGCCACTGTTGGGTTGTATGAAGCCCTAAATCCTTAGATTTTGAGTAAAAGACTGTTGGACCAGAAGGTATCTGTCTTTCCCAGTGCAAAGAACGTAAGGTCATTACTAGAGTCGTTTGTTTGGGCTTAGCAAGTTCAGGATGGGGCTGTAATTTGCACGTCTCACCGCTGGGTGGCTCCGAACCCACCCGCAGTATACGCATACAGTCCCATCAAGCAGCATGGGACAGTCCTGTCGGGTGGCTTGTACCACCCGTGCGTGTACCACCAGTGTTCAAGCTGGTGGGAACATGTTAAAGTTATTTATGGAAGCACTTGTGGAACCAAGCATTTGGAAGGACACAGGTGGGTGCCCTCAAGCTTAATAAAGGGTGTACTTTGGAGAATCACCATTGTCAGAGTTAGCGGCACTAGGAAGCACGGGAGCAGTGCGCTAGTAGCTTTCCAAATTCACCAAGGGCCTAGCTGGTTGCCCTCTGAGTGGCTGTAAAAGCCAAGCACCACGAAGGCTGCTTTTAGAGGTGGAAGAGGAGTAGGGCGAGAGACGTGCTACACTCTGTCTTCCGAGGGGGGCTGCTCTTAGCGGGGACAGTGCAGAGACAGCTCTCCTCCTGCTGGAGGTTCTCAAAGAGCTTGGCTGCTCCACCCAGAGCCCGTGTGGAGGGGGACTGCCTGCAAATGAAGCTCAGCTCAGCTACTCACCCGCTACTCAGCAGTAAGCTGCTGTCCTGAGGCTGAGTACAGTACTCGGCAGCACGGAGGAAAGAACATAGAACATCAGCCCCTTGGTAACAGAGCAGCTTCCACCTATGGGGTGACATCTAGTGGAAAAGCAAGCTCTCCAGGAAAAAAAAAAAGAACTGATTCCTGGCAGAAAAAAAAATACCACAGTGTGGTACCGTGAACAGCCCACGGTGCAAGGAGCCAAGCTCCAGACATCACGCTGGTTGTTACCCAGGGCCCTGGACTAGTTCCGAGGGAGACACGTTAGCACTGCTACAGCAGAGGCAAGTCTCAGAGGTCTAGTGCAGCCTGGCGTTAAAACTCCTCACTCATGATCGGTGGCCGTCTCTGACAGCCTCCATGGAGTCACTCCTCCCCTGGGGAGAGGTGGTCACCTGCCTCTCAGTAAGACGCGCTCCTGATGCCACACACTGCTATCTGAGCCCACACAGCAAAGCAACGAGGAGGCCTTGGTGGAGCTTGTGAGTCACTGACTTGACGGTAAGTTCTAACTTCTTTTCTTTTTATATCTCAAACTCTGGTTCCACATTCTTAGGTCAGTCTACAAAACCCTAAGATCATATTCCCGATGGTGACGAACTAATGGGGAGAAGACATTCTATTTTAATACTTACTGTACTTACAACTAAATTGGTCTTCTATATCCAGTATCAACAACCATACATGATATATTGATTTATTTTTCATTGTGAAAGGTCACCAGGAAAGGCAAGACTAAGTGCTACATTTTTGGTCCCAATGGACTGACGATATCATTCTTATATAGCAATTTTAATCAGATCAAAGCATCAGACACTAGCAAAACGGAAGGAAAAAAATGGCACAGCTAAAGATTTTATCAGATCTTACTGGGCTGGGGATATAGCTCAGTGGCACAAGCGCCTGCCGGGAAAGTGCAAGGTCCTGAGTTTGATTCCTAGTAAACAAACAAAAAAAAAAGAGATCTTACTGCCAACATTTTCCAGCGTCAAAGGGAAGTTTACATACAATGGAGGAGTACTCAGCATAAAGAAAGATAAATGAGTCATTTGTATAAAAATCTTATGTACATATACCAGCTCCACAAGGAATGTAAACATTATGTACTGCTGTTACTAACAGAAAAATTTAAAAATATGAGATAAAAAGTACTCAAACTGAGAAAATAAGTGACATACAGCAAATGGAGCCCCCAATCTGTACTCTCTCTATCTCATTTGGTTACTCTTATTCTTTTAAAAGAATATGGTTTACTGTTAAGCGGAAATCGGACACACATGTGTAAATACCACACTGTTTCTCTGGTGTGAGAAACTGAAAGCGTACATAAAACTGAAATGTACACTAGGTATTGTGAAATAGGAAGAAAATGTTCAAATGGGGAGGGGAAGAAGGGAGGGGGAGGCGACAAGGAAAAAAGGGAAGAGTAAAAAAAAAGGTGAGAAAAGAAGGAAAAAGTAGAAACAAAGCTTTTATAGAGGGGGAGGGGGGAGGGGTTAAAAGGCGGGTAAGGGAATGGGAAAAAAGAACCAAGATCTATCATGTACACGTACAAATTCTCTACGATGAATCGTCATGTGTATCTAAAATGTAGCAATAAAATCTGATTGAGGAAAAGAAAAGAAAATAAATAAAAGAATACGGTGGTTTCAACATATACAATCACCTCAAAGAACCATGAAACAAGAACTTTCAGTGAAGTCATGAAGTCCTCAAGGGTGGTACTTTAGAAACAACTATTCCTAAAATCTAAACTGAGGAGCTGGAGGTACAGCTCAGTGGTAGAGCACTTGCCTTCCACGCACAAGGTCCTGAGTCCATTCCCTCACCACTAAACGCCCAAAGCAAACCAAACCCCCTCCACAAATCCCAAGCTCTACACAGATTCATAGACCTTGGGCAAGGGAAAAATGTCTCCAAGAAGTCTAGCCGTATTTCTTTGGCATGCTCATCTTCACCGGCTGGGTCTGCGGCCACACTTCTGCAGCAGACTGGGGCACATGCCTGGTCCACAGTATTTCCAGTGTGTGTGCAGTTTCCATATAG